GCTATACATGTATTAAGTAATATTTTTTTTATCATTGTCATCATTATTAATGCACTGTTGTTGCGTAATGGCGTTTTGCCGGGGCTCGGACCGCGATGGAGGCGTACAGGAAAAGGCAGGCAACCGCAAACCGACCACCGCGGGTCAGCACGAACGAGACGGCTACCTATTTTAAATTGCACTCGATTACACACGGTGGTCGCCATGGATACGGTCGAACCCGAGCAAACACAACACTTTGGCGCGACCCCCTGTGCATATATACAGAGTGATTGGCCGGGTTGGCTACAAGTCCAGCTGTGCTAGATTGTGCTAATATTTAAATAAGTCGTTTAAATGTGGAGAAGACGAGTGTCTTATCCCTAATCAAGCACCCTGCGCCCAGCCTAACCGTTTTTAGTGTATGCCAGAGCTCTGTCCATCTTGAAACTTAAACGCTTACTTAAATAATTTACCCGTATACAGGGTGATTGACACATATTTTCACTAATTAACTATTGTTGGTTAACGATAGAATAAAGAAGCAAGGATTTTTGTTAGGTCAAGTTGTGTCAAGCTGTTTACATTCTGTGGCTGCCATATTTTCTTTACATTTTTTACTATTGTAAACTGACCCTGGTAAGTTTGAAAACAATATGTTAATTTAACAAGCATCTTATTGCATTTATGATTGTTCATTACAAAAGTGTTGAAACGGTATAATAATACAAACTTGGAAATGGTCTCTCAACCCGGTCAAAAAACTATAAGTATTTTGCCTTACACCGACATTCAAGGTAACAATCTAGAGGCGGTTAGGTATCTTCGTGCAGAACGTTCATGAAAATAGCTGTAGAAGGTCGGATTACACGTGAATGATAGCAAAAACGAATACACGGTATAAATTACCGACAAGAAGATACACAACAATGGTAGAAGGTCAAGTTATACTCAAAAGAGTACTCCAATTTATCGTTATAACACAAGAATTTAAAAGGGCAATCACTGCTAATGTGGATTGAGAAAATTATCATGACCTAAAGCTGTTTCCATATAAGATCTTGATACGCCCAACAGATAGTATTGAGCAACTATAGAATTTATTTTAACCCTTTAATTTGGTCAAAGAACCGTTGCAATTGAGTAGACTGATATGGTGAGGACGTGCTTGACAAAATAAAAAAAAACTGGGGGTCGACTCTGAGAACAGTTATTGAAAGGAATCCAATAGGAAGACCTCACCTAAGGGAATACAATCGAGAGAAGCGGCAGAGAATACAGATAGATGGTGAAATAAATAACAATAATAATAAATACTTAGAGGGTCGGTCTAATTGCAAAAGTAAAATAGCAAATTAATTTATCGAGTACCTACAGCTAAAAGGTGGGAAGATAGTAAACGCCTAAGAAGTGATTGGACCTATTGAAAACTGAAGGAAAAAAACGATTGCAAAGTCAAGTAGGTATACTTTGAACAGCCTGTATTCTGGGACTTTCTGGAAGCTATTACCTATTACTATTGTACTGTGTATAGTACAACATAGCCCGGGTGGATTCGAAAAAGGCTAACCCAAGTGTGTACACATACACACACCCACCCGCATACCCTCCGCCCTCGCTGCTCGCATGGCTGCTCCCCCTCGTGTCTCCCGAAGGCCAATGGTCATTATACATGTGTATAATATATATATATATATTTATTATATTACGTGTCCGGTACGTTATTCGTGTGGAATATTTATTTTATCGTTATACTACTATTATTATTATTATTACGGTGGCTTTTGAAAATTATGAATAGTTTAAACAAGGCGCGCGCGCTCGCTCACAGTACACACGCACCGATGGCACGCACTAGCTTAATATTATAAATTATTTTTATTATTACTATTCCACATTAGATCACAGTCTGAACTATTGCATACACATTTACTTTTTTTTTAGTACTTTCCAGAGCTCTATCGGCCTAGTGTTATTTTCTCCGTTCCACGCAATAACATAATTTAATCATCGATATGTTATCTCTTATCACTTATATTTTGACTCTTGTCTGTTATCTTTTATCTCTTGTCTCTAATCACTAATCTCTTGTCTTTTATAACATTAACACAGACACAAGCAATAACATATCCATGTTAATAGTAACGTACCCGTTGAATTGAGAATAAATTGCCGAATATTAGGACTGGTCGATTGTCAGTTTTCGATAATTACTTGTGGATAAAAATAACACTAAGTAATTATTATTAACCTAAACTAGTTATCGACCAGTCGAAATTTTCAGCAAATCGGTCTTGATTTAAAATGTTAAGTCAAGAGGATGAGGAATGCACTGGTAAACTCTATAAACTCTACTTATAATTTTGGCCGTCCACTACCCTCGTTTGTAACATGTATTGGATATCTTAAAGCACTGCGAGATATGAATTTAAATTATTACAAGTACAGCTAGTATGTTTCCACGGCGAAGAACGCAGCCGAGGACATAATGGAAACATTATCCGAATGCGCCTGGTGAGTTAGGTCGTTGCCGCAGAGATTGTTGGACCGTAACAACGATTCGGAAATTGCCGTGGACAATCGAACAAAATGAAAAAAATACACGACATAATGCGTTTAAGGAATAATTGAAAAAAAGTGACCACGGTAGACAATCGTATTAGGTACCTGCGCTGTGCTATTGACAACGTAATTGACGTTGTAAAATGCCATCGCCAATCACACCGCCCGGAACTACATGAAATAACTGCATTGTGTAGAGAGACACTCGAGGGGAAAGCGAAACAGCTCCTCCCCTTGGGCGCGTTGAAAAATATTTAAACGATTTAGTCAAATAGATCTCGTTCAATTTATCCGATCCAAAATCAACATGTCAGTATACTCCTTATGAATGTGTGAGGTTGATAGGTTTAAGTACTTAGGATCGGTGGTACAAAAAAATGGTGGATACGAGGAGAACTTGAGAAATAGGATAAATTAAGGATGGATGAAGTGGAGGGGAGCGAGGGATGTTTTGTGTGATAGGAGGATGCCTATAAGATTGAAAGGTAAATTTCTTAGGTAGGTAGCGAAGCCGGCAATGTTTATATTGGTCGGAATGTTGGGCAGTAGATAAGAAAACTGCACAGAGAATGAGAATGTTGAGATGGATGAGTGGAGTGACTAGGGAGAATAGAATAATAAATGAATACATAATGGGGAGTCTAAGAGTTGCATTAATTTTGGAGAAAATGAGAGAGAATAGGTTGAGATGGCTCATAAATATTCCTGACAAATTGTTTAGCTATTTTCTGAAAACTTAAGTTAACATATGAACTTACATTAAAAACAAAGAAATTAGCTAAATCGACATTATCAGAATTCTTTACATGAACAGAAGAAAAGAAGTTTTTTTAAAAAGCAGCATACCTAATACAACATAAAGCATAACGCATTCAAATTAAATTGGATCTATGAGTTGTAACACTATTTATATGTTTCCAAAAAGGCTTAGTACTACTAATAATAACAATAATAGTAGAAAAAAAATTAGAAATTCAATTGACAAACATACAAGGAGACCAAGTCATATCAGAACATTTAAGACTGGCCATTGTGAGGTTGAACAATTAAAGTATAAGTATATTTCTCCCGTTAACTTCTAGCTTAACAAATTTAGTATAGCTTAGGGTTGTTAATATTCTTTTCATTTAGTATTTATACAATTTTCTATTATAACTATGTAATTACTATAACGAAGTTAAAAAGTGTTTTGCATGTCTGCGTTGTTTCTTACATACACGACGATTCATCAAAGATAAAGCACATTCATTTTTTTCTTAAAACATTTGCAATGTTTGTAGTTTTTTTTTTTTGAAAACATTTTGTTTGTATCAACTCTCGAAACTTGAATGGTAACGGATATTTAAAATTAAAAATTATTTGCAGAACATTATGACTGATCGATATGGCAATTTTGGACGTACACATTTAAAGTAGCTAAGTTTAAAATTTAGGACGTCAAGTAGAGTGGTTTGTAGGTTTATTGTAATCTGCAATCCGCCTCACGTTCTAAACTTTAAACTTCACTTACTTCAAAAGTGTTTATCGACCAGTGAACATTTAAAATAATTATTGTGCACCGTACGGTCTACAAAAACTGGCGTTTGAAGTTTGAAATAAACCGAGTAATTGTTGTGAGCCAAACAATTTCAACAAGGATAAGTTATTGGGCTGGATACACATGAAAACGCCATTTCGCTGTTTTCGCGTCAGATATAAGATTTAGCGTCAAGAGATAATATAAAAGTGATAAGAGATTAGTGTTAAGGGGTGAGAGATAAATGATAAGGGATTAAGAGATAAATGATAAGAGATAAGTGATAAGAGATGACATATTCATGATTCACTGTTTTTCCACGGAATGGAGAAAATAACTAGGTTTATTTATATAAAGGCTTAAAATAAGAGGTTCGCAATGCGAGTTCAACTATATAGTAATATACTTTGCCGGCTATTTGAAAACGTTTCGACCGTGTGCGGTCGCTGTTAATCCGTTGAATATCGTATTACCGCCGCCGTTGTTGTTCGAGCGAAACATTGCCGAGCCGTACATACAGGTGCGAGCCCGGTACACACATGTATATTGTATAATAATATATATATATGTATTATATAGGTACCGTTATTATTATTATTATTTGCATTCGATCTGCATACCTACCTATACTGTATATTAGATTGCAAAGCGTTTGCACGATTTCGGTAGCGACCGGTCGCGGTGTCGGATTTCATCAACAAGTCGACCGTCCAAAAAAGCAACGTTGCGAAGACAATCCGCCAGACAGTCTCCACTGTACATTACCTCTATACAGTGTAATAATAATAATAATAATATGCCGTGTGTACAGGTATAGCCGTCAATAACAATAATAGCAAAACACTTGATATTATCATGCCGTAGCCGGTTTAAGACTTGTTTTTTTTTTTATTGAATTATTTTTTGCTTGTTTATAATGTATATTTTTGTCTGGTGTTCGCAGGAACCCTGAGACCTCCCGGGCTGATCGGCGGCAGCAAACCCAAAGTGGCCACGCCGGCGGTTGTGTCGAAAATAGAATTCTACAAACGGGAAAACCCGACGATATTCGCCTGGGAAATACGCGAAAAACTCATATCCGAAGGTAATAATCATGGTTTATAAAAAAAGTAATAAGGATAACATAGTTGAAAATTATTAGAAAATTATATAATATGATGCTTGTAACGATTAGGGATAGTAATCTCGTCCTCACCTCCAATCTGTTCTATCTTATTTCCCTGAAGGGAATTCCCAGACATTTCTTTTTTTTTCGAGAGGAGAAAAGTTTTCGTATTTTTTAGGTGTAAATGTATGGGTTTTTAGGATTGAATCATTTGATTTTCAGAAGAGACTTGCCTAATCAATTTCCCATTAAGATTTCGACTAGATCCAGCCATTTCTTACGAATTTTTAGCATATTGTAAAGATAAAAGATGAACAATTTGCTAAATGTGTTTTTCTCAGTCTTTAGAGCAAAGGAGTTGACCTTTACCAATTGTTATAATGTATTTTAATAGTTTTTAGCTAGAAAGTTTTAAGAGTTTAGAAGGTATTGGTTACAACAATGGTGTCCATAGATAACATATTTTATCTAGATGGAATGATTTTTCCACTTTAAACGTGGATTTGCATTACAAATGTTATTTTACTTGGTAATATTAACCGCTTAAACCGAATTAGAATTCAGCGACTCAGTTGACCTTATTTAAAAACTTGTACACTAAAATTTAAACTTATATCTTCGATGGACACTGGATCTCACTTTGATCATATTGCTTCGGTCCGATTTCGCAGACTTTTTACTGTACCGATTCGTACTGTTTTTTGCTGGTTTAGACTTTGGTGGTTATTTTTCAAAATCTTTTATTCGTTATTCGAAAATTGTCCAACAGTGTTACACATAACATTACACCAGACGACGGTTGCCTATGGCGTGCAGACGAGGGCTACGAAAAGCCGACGGATTAGACGTTGTCACCTTGGGAAGCCTTACTTGTGTGGTTGAAGGGCAAACACCCGACGGTAAACGATATTTATTTATTTTTTTTTTTTTTGGGGTTTGCGCCTCGCTAATTTCAGATTTAGCACATGCACTGTGCGCAGGCAAAATTAAATCCACTATAAACTTTCGAGGTTTCAAACGGTTCCTAAACAATCGTACCGAAATTCGTGCACCGAAAATGTAGTAAATTGTGACCTACGGTTCAACGGACCTGAGCAATGGAAGCCAACCAAAAACTGTTCAAAATTAATACCACATAACATCCGTTCACTGATCTCGTCAAAACCGATCCGTGAGAACGATCGCCTCCGGGCAAACGCATTATAGGTAAATACCCGAATTCGATACTTCCCTTCGTGTTTCGTCCGGCCGTTTATGAAAGTCAACCGTTCGGCTGAATCTTCGAGTAAAGCGTATACGTTCATACGATTTTAACTTTCTCCCATAACGTATACCGACATTTTTACCGTTCAAATCGTTTTCGGCTTGATACATGGAAAAATGTACCTGAAAATATCCTGAAAAAAAATCACCGGAAAGTTGGTCCCCAAGAAAAAATTATCCCCAGCAAAATGATCTAAAATACTGGAATTTAAAATATCATTTTTTAGTAGGAAAAAAGTAATACCGATTTCTCAAAGCGAGAAACGACAATTGAACGGGAAAATCAATATTTCACCGATATTAGTATTTATTTAATTTATCAATACATTTTTTTCATTTTATTTTTGCAATGTTTATGTACATCTATTCAGCATCGAAAATACTAAAATTATTATCATCTAAAAAAATAACGATTCCCTGTAAGTGTAATAAAAAAATATAAGTATGATTTTATACAAAAATTATAAATAATTAAATAAAAGTTCGATCTCTTATTGGAGCTGTTATTACTTATTATTATAATAATGTCTATCAATCAAAAGAAACCGCTTGAATAATAAAACAATACATTCATGTTTTTCTAGAGGAACAAATTTTCTGAGAATAGTTTTATGGGGGGGGGGGATTTCTGGGGACATTTTTTCCCAAGACTATTTTCTCAGGAGCCGATGTACCGGGGATTTTCTTTTCCGGGATCAGTATTCTATGGATCATCAATCAGTGTATCACTAATAACATTACGATTATTCAATAACCTCGCAAAAATGTTGACTTTTGATGGCTAATGTGTTGATTAATTAAAGATAACATACTCAATTTGACTGGTAAAAAATCAGTGTTTAGTAATGTGCGCAGATAAAATTAATACTCCACTCCACCCACCCGTCTTAAATGTTTAACTTAAAAAGTAATTGTCCAAACATGGTTGTTGACTAGTCAACATTTTCATCAAATTATCCTGAATTTAATAATGTAATTAATCATACTCCTTCGCCTAAGCATTCTCTGTCCTGTGTTCCTGTCTACCACCCAACATTCCGAACCATACAATGTAATCAGTGTTTCCGCACTCTAGTAGCACTTACCCAAAAATATTATCATTGTAATTCTCTTGTCGCATAAAACACCTGACGATTTCTCTCCACGCTTTGATCCAACCACGCTTAATCTTAATCGTAACTGCTTGAATAATTATTGATCAATTATATTTTTCTGGGGGATTTATTTTCCGAGAACAGGTACAAAAGAGGACCAATTTTGCGGTGTTAATTTTTCTGAGGATAATTTTTTCTGGGAACCCATTTTTCTATTTGCATTCTAGATGCTAAGCCCAGCTCTCTCTGTCCGTGGTTTTAACATGAATTATGTATCTCGACCGTATTGATTTTAAGTGCAATCCGCGATGCTAATGATATTATATATGTGTGTGTATGTCGTTTTTAAAGTGTGCACGTCGCATTATCGTTGTTCGGTCATCGGGAATCGTTATCGTTTATTGTTGCGTTCATAATAAATGGCATAATAAATTATTAGTATTATATTGGAGGCGACCGTCGGGTCGGGTATATAGGTAGGTGGTAGGCATTCTAATATATTATTATTGTACCTACCTATACGTGTATGACTACCGAGGCGTTTACGGTGGACGATCACTCTACACACACAACCACCGGGCGCGCGATAGAGTTACAATGATATTACTCTGTTATTCTGTTGTTATTATTATTAGTATTATTATTACATTATTATTGTGATTATAGTGTTTTTTTTTATATTTTTTACTCCTCTCGCTTAAACGAGACATCGCACAGACGCAGGTTCGGTATCTAATTAAATTGGTCATGGGGACCACCGCATTCGTCGTATAGGTACCTAAATACCTAAAGTACCCACAGACATTCGAGATGTAGTATTGTTGTTGTGTGCGAGTGTGATAATTCGACGTGGGCTTGAATCATTGTGTATAACGTGAACAGACAAGGTGTAAGGTAAGGTAGGTAGGTGGAATCGTCATCGGGTGTCCGCGTGTCATTCATACCGACCGACTCTTGTATAATATTATTATTTTGGTTGGTAGGTAGGTAGGTACGATATTAAGTATATTATGTTTTATCGTTTCACGAATTTGTTCACTACCATTATTATTATTATTATTAGGTATCATTGTGGTTTGACGATTGTCAAAAACGGAGACAAGGCGTTGTGTCCGTGTGTGTATCTATTACTATTGTATGTGTATAACGACGGGTAACGAATCTTTACCTTTTCCAATTTTACCAATTACTATATACACGAGACCCGTGATAAAAGGATTATACGCACAGAATTCCGCCGTGTGAACCGTACAGAATTATTATCATCATCATCATCATCATCATCGTCATCGTCAGCATATCTTTGTCGATGCTGTCGTTATTGTTGTTGTTATCATTATCGTTTATTATTATTTGTACCGTGCCGAGTGTCAGTCAGTCAGTCAGTGGAATGGTCGTCGTCGGACCGATCTGTACGGTTTATAGAGATGATAATAGATAGTATCTATTTAAACATGTAACCGGATGGATTAAATTTTGTGTATCCCCAAATTTTTCGAAAGTAAACCGCGAAATCTCCTGAATGATGAAGTTATCCATAACCGGGTTTTTTACAGTTCTATCGAGTAGTATTTTCACGCTGAATAAGAGTGAGGAAAGTTGAAAGTCACTGAAATGAGAATGTTGAGATGGACAGACAGGATAAAGGAATGAGGTGGTTTTGAATCGCGCCAACAGCAGGATAAATTTAGGCAGCAAACTGAGATGGTGTATGGTACTTTGAACGAAAGGATTTGGCAGAGTTAAGATGGACCAAAAAAGGGGGAAATGGTGTGTACCATAAATAAAGACCTGGAGGTGTGTGCAGATGATAATGAAATGGTAGGAAAGGGAAATAGGATGATCGAATGCATTTGTGTCTAAAACAAGCTAAAGTAGCAGAAGTAGCTTTGGTTGTCAATATTTCAATTTGATATCGATTCTGCTCGTCTACAGTTTTGTATTTTCCAAAATTACCCTCTCGGATAAACTAAACTCTTCATATTGGGTGAGGATAATTGTTAAAAGAGGGGTTGGGTTGAAAAACATGGACTACTATTATATTATTATAAAAATAGTTTACACATTTGTTTAATTCCTACTCGAACAAAACTCCGGCGCACAACCATTAATATTATGTGTCTTTAGTTGAATAATTTAATTAGTCTTTGGTATCGTTTATGTAATATCTAACGATCGACAAGTATATTAATTGGTGTAGGTAAAAAAATACATACCTATAATAAATAATAACCGTTTAATCTTGTGGCCCGTTTGACGTGGCTGTCAAAACAATAACAGTTCTGCCGTTCGCGTGTCTAACAAAATGTCAGTAGATGAATGAGAGACTGAACTTCGCGTTCCTCGTCGGAAATTGAATTACATCAATCGACTTAGTCTGGAAATTGTCAAATAAGTCTAGGTCACGTCAAAGAATAGCGAAAGAAACTTATAACTTCTCGTTTTCTGGCTGTTAAATACATATTATATTAATATTTCCAAAACAAACTAATCAAGTATATTTATTTTAAGCATGAATGCTAAAAAAATTTACTGTAAGCAGTTGTGTAACTTTTTCAAAAAGGTTAGTTCTACAAAATTGATTTACCTTGATAAGATACAATAAGATTGGGGTTTATCTAGATAACTTATCTGTACAATTTCCAGCACGATTATTGGATTGACTTTTCACAGTTATTTCTATAAACTGATTCTCTTATCAATCATTCTTATATCAGTCATCCGGAGATTGAGGATTTCCCTTATCTTCTCCTCGGTTTCTTTTTTACATCTACCCGTCTCTTTTCCATCCCTTTTTCCATCTCCACACCACGATGAAATCGCCGTAACGTATTCCCTCTCAAATAACCCGTTTCAGGTTAATAAACCAATACGGCATCGAGTGTTGTGTCGGTTCCGAATGTGTTTAATTAATGTTTTGACAGTATACGAACCACCGGTTAATAAATATAATTCATTGCGAACCGCGCCCGGCGCATACCGATCAACCGCGTGCACCTAATGTCAATAACATTTTAAACATACCTAAGAACATTTTCATTATTTAACAATCTCTCCCTCTCTCTCTCGGTCATTCTGAGCGTGATCAATTATTATTACTATTATCGTTATTATTATATTCCAATACCTAATACGGACCACGGACACGTCGAATAGTGGCAGTCACGAAACCAGAGACGCCGTCGAGTGCGCGCGCCCAGTTTCTCCTATTGTGTTACACGTGTAGTGCCCAACACGATTGCTTCGAGACAATAATTATTATGTTCCGTGTACTTAGCGTAAAAATAAATCAATACGGCTCGAGTTCAGCGTGCCCTTAAAAGTGTTCAATTCTTCTTCTTTCTTCAGCTCCAAAAAGCTTCCATTTAGGCCCAATGCTGCATCGCACATTTCCTTACCACTTCTCTCTATCCGACGCTACCTCCTGGTGTTTCTCTGTTTCTAGTATTGTTAAATCCCTTACGGCTTTCTCAGACCGTCGTTGTTTAGGTCTACGCCTGAGGGTCTCTTCCTTCGTGGGGTTCAATTCAGGACTTGTTTTGTGATCGTGTTGGACCTCAATACGAGACCTAGCCAGCTCAATTTTTTTGATCAAATTGTAAATGATTGAATGTGAGTTATGACTAATACTCACAAACTTGTAGAATTTTGTGTATACTTGGCCACTTCCCATTGAATTGGCGCCAATGGTATACAATTCCGCAAAGAATATGCTTTTGCTATGAACAATAGCTGCCAGAAATCAAAATATGGCTCAAACTTATTGCCGAAGGTCTAGTTTTCACTAGTCTATCACGCCATTGCTTCAGTTCAAGCAAAGCAAACACGGGATTAATGCTGAATCTTGTTCTTTTCTATGGGGATAAATCTATTTGACCACAAGCGCTAGTTGCTCACCTTTTCACACCTCGGGAATCTCTTTACAGCAGGTCCGAGGGGCCGAGTTTTATTGTACTGTGTAATACAATGTTGATATTTTACCTTTGTGACTTACAGTTGTTGCTAATCTGTTCATAGGTGTTTGCACAAACGGCACGGCGCCGTCCGTGAGCAGCATCAACCGGATACTGAGGAATAGAGCGGCGGAAAGGGCCGCGGCCGAGTTCGCCAGGGCTGCCGGATACGGGCTTTACCAGGTGTCGCATCCGTACGCGTCGTTCCCGTGGCCCCCGCATCCGCACAGCTTGTGGCCCGGAGTCACGGCCGACGGCCAGACCGCGCCCGCGGTCAGTTCGGCCGGGCTGTCGCACGCCGGATCTGCGGTCGCCGTCGCCGCTGCAGCGGCAGCTTCCTCGGTGGCGTCCAACAACAAGAGCTCGCCACTTCAAATGATGAACCCACACCAACAATGCAGCATGCTGTCGGCTCGGGACTTGATGCCCAGACTTTTGTGTGAGTACCACAGGACAAGCAAACTAACCTAGGCTAAAGACATCTATGATATCTTATCATATACAATTTAGGGTGTCTCAAAAAGAGACATTATCGGACCTACAGCGCTCTGGTAGGGCTTGAATGAATAAAACAGTTTGCCACTAGATGTTTCAAGTCGATTTTACATTTAAGACTATAAAAAAATTCCATTTTGGTTATAAAACGCATAGTTTAATAACTAAAGCAGTGGGTGTCTTTGGTGTCTGGTAAACAACGTTAATAGCTGACAACGGCTTGCAACAGTTCTGCGAGTTTAAAAAATAACACATACATTGCCTCGTCCAAGCTAGTAACAAGTAACATAGTATTCTGACTGAGTGTAATTTTGTAAGAAATATGATTTGTTTATATCTAACATTGCAATATATAATTGTATAACGTTTACTTTTATTCAACAATTTTATGTCCTTGCGTCACGTGAGACTTATCGGCTGGGTCGTTGTGGAGAGACTTTAACGCTGCGTTTGTGCAATTGAAAAATATTGTTTTCTGTCGAACCGTCGGTTTTTATCATTCAAATTAAGTAATTACACGTATTTTGAAATAAGTTTTTAAAAAAAAATCATATTAAACGTTTTCTGTGCTAACGTTTACACACCTACTTAGACGGCTACTGTATTTACAACTAAATAGTTAAACGGCATACACTTGGGGTCAGATTGGATGTAGGTATACATTGTGCAATTATTAATTATGATCCACGCAAAAGGTTGAAACACGCGATACGGTTTCATTTTATATTTAAATTAGATATAATTAACGGCGGTGGCCTACAGGAGAGCAAAAGACCGGTCACAGTATTCGTTGTGAGTTTTTTATTTTATTTTTTCAAATTTACATTAAAAAAAAATATATGACACGCGAGCCAATGTGTCCGTTTGTAGGTAACCTAATCGAACCCAACTACATTTCTTATTCTATCCTTCCTAGTCACTCCACTCGTCCATTTTACCTACATCTAATTGATCTCTAATCGACTGTCTCTTATCAGGAGCCATTATCAGCTTAAACATTGTTTGTACGTTTAATTAAAATTGTTTTCCAGCCGTTTGGCTAAACTGACGGTGTTGCCGACTTGTTATTTAACAAATCGCCGTACGTTACAATAAGTAGTCGACCGTGTACTTTGACGGACTGTGCGACGGAAGGCTGCTACTAAAATACTATAACCTCAGATCGCTTCGAGTTTACAGCGTTTGGCCATCACGCACTGTACACTAATGTACCATTGGGTACAGCCAGGTTGCAGACTTAAGCCGGGCCGACTTAATACAATATAATTGCATCGGATGTAATTACGTGTGTGGATACCGCCGTTATACGTATTATTATTATTATTATAAAATAATTTTAATAACTGGCGGCGGTCAACCGACGGTAATTGGAAACCATCGTCGTGTGGCGAATAAAAAATACATGTAATATGCGAATCTGCTGAGAAAACGCGTCAACCGGTCACCGCCGCCGTGTGAACGATCAACCACAAGTACTCTTTGGTAGTAATTGCTTTTATGACAGCCGACCAGACGGAGGTGAAGAAATACGCATATTTTTACAATAAAAAAAAATATATATATATACATATATAAATACTATAATTCACTCGAGTGTAAACATCATATTTTTAAAACAAAGTGATTAAGATGGGCAATTTTAAAAATATGTCCATTTCAAAGAGCGGTCGAGCCAGCAAGGTCAGGCATAATTTGACTAAAAAAAAAAAAAATTAACCATTTTTTTACAAATGAAAACATATGATTACATTTTTATATACATATACTTCAGATTTAAATAGTTACCTACTTAAAACTGTCTATTTAAACCGAATAACAACCATCGCAAACGCATATTTTTTTATTGCCACATTTTTGTTTGGGCATGGTCGGTTCCGCAAAAAAAAAAATGTGTAATTCAAATTAGCCCAACGGTCTGCTGGAAAAGGATCTTGCCCATTCATATTTAGACACTATCGAAAAACATTTTTGTTGATATATTTTCTAGTGAGTCGAAGACACGTCCATCGTTAGTGTAAAATCTATTCTTTGAAACATTAATTGAAAGTTTGTAAAATATTCCATTATTTATATTATTCTTCTTAAGAAAAAAAAATTCATCAGATTTTTGAAAAATTAGCTCAGACTTTATTTCAAGGAAAGCAGGACACCAATAATTATGCAGTAATACATTTATAGTATGCGGATGACTTATCGAATTTGCGCGCTTGAGAAATAAGTAGCTATATCAATGATATGATTACAATATAATTCTTTGTCTTAAGATATCTGGAAAATTATTTTTCCAAATAATTCCCATGTTGTTTTTTTTAATAACTTCTAATATTACCTTTGTTTATTAAAATTTGTATTTTATTAAAGTATTTTAAATTGTGTGTATCAGTACAATATTATATTTTCTTCGGAAAAAAATGTTCAAAGAATAGAATATTGTTGACCATTAACACTAGGAACAAACAATTCTTTAATTTTTTTTTACCCCAAATATTAAATACCTACATGGTAATCTTCACGATAAACCCTGGACTTAAGCATAAGACTTTAAGATAGATGATTAAAAAAAAAAAAAGAAAGAATCTATAATTATTTTCTCAGCCCCACGGAAAAACATTGAAACGTGGATATGTTATCTCTTATCTCTAATCTCGTATCACTAATGTCTTATCATTTATATCTTATCGCTTAATTCTTATCTCTTATCACGTGAAAGTGAAAGTGTGACGCGAAAATGTCGACATAAAATCTCTTGTATACAGCCCAATGCCATTCGCATGTATCCATAACATTCATATTTATCCACGTTAAACAAAACTCCATAGGATCGAAGCAGAGTAATTCAAATCGTCGACAGATATCCGACAAAGTACAGTTAACGAATCAGAAATCAGCGTATACAACATAAGATTTTCAGTAGTCATAATAATTGGACGGTTGTGAACATACCACACACACACACACACACATAGGTACAAGGTGTACCTAACGAGGTCGTGTAGTTTTTTACAATGTTTTAATGATTGACATATAGTAACACGGGTGCGAACGTGAGCTTGTTAATTAGGTTTGTGCGATTTCAATTATAATAATAATTTAACGCAGGCTAGGTATAATAGCAGTCTGGCGGCGTAGGACATAATTACACGGCGATTGCGATAAACAAAATAATGACAGGTTAGGTTAGGACAAATCGCGTTATTCGGACCAACCCACAGAGGTTAGGTGTTTTTTTTTTTTTACTATCGTGTCATTGTTATTGCAACGCTAAAAAACATTAATAATCGTTTTGCCGACTCTTTGCTCGGCAATTCGACCTCCTAGGCCGGTTAGGACATATCTTAGACATCTTTATGATTTGACGAGCAAACACCTATTAGAATTATTTATCCGGAGGCGTTGGGTTAATACAACGGGCGAGGACATCTCCTCTAACGAGAAGACGCCACACGAATGGACGATTTAATCTTAATTTTCTCGTCTTTTTTTTTTTTGCACAGCAACGGAAGGCGATGGCAAAGACGACGAGAGCATAGGCAGCGGCAGTGGTGGAGAACAGCCAAAGTTCAGACGCAACCGGACCACTTTCAGTCCGGATCAGCTCGACGAATTGGAAAAAGAATTCGACAAGAGCCATTATCCCTGCGTGAGCACCCGGGAGAGACTGGCCGCCAAGACCAGTTTGTCCGAGGCCAGAGTACAGGTGAGCACTTGTCACGAAAGTTTACAAAAGGTTAAGCCAGGTTAAGTTGGGTTGTTCCCTACCGGGTTAGCGGTTATTTGGGGGAAAAAAAAGGTTAGGTTAGGTTCGGTAACGGGTACTTGTGTAGTAAGATAAGGTTGGACTAGATTGCACTTGTAACGATTCCCCAGCTGGCTTTCCACGGAAGAGATAGTGATAAAAAGAAAAACCTAGTTGGGTTACACTGTGGAAGAGATCACAATATCATATTCTCCTCTCAAAAAAGTTTATATTTTTTATATTTTTCTTGTACTCCAGTTAACTTCCCAGAAAAGTTATTTCTAACACAAGGACAATTATTATTGATCACGGGAAACCCAATTTATTATTACAATAAACCAAAAGGTATACCGTCAGCGGCGCTGTTGCCTGTTATCATACTAATTCTCAAAATAATTAATAACCTTTTGTCAGTGAATTCGATTAATCAACAATATTCGTACGGTAATTCCTATCGTCGTTTTCCAACGAAAGCAAGACAAAAGAGTCGCATGTTAACAGTCATTCTAAAATAATAACATTCAAATGTATTATGTAACGGTCGCATTACCCTGCATTGAGTATGGTTTGTTTAAGTACTTATAACCTACCCACGTTATAACCTATAGATAATTTTGTTTGTTTTGTTTAATAAATACTCCTCTTTCGATAACACTTCCACTGTCAATTATTATTATTAAATAATAGCTGTTAATAAACCAGCTAACAAATTATCTAGTGTGTTGTGAATAATTGATTTCAAGTTGCCCTGGCGCTAGTCAACACACGAAATGGGACCTATTAATAATAATAACAGTAACAAAACAAGAACTTTAGTCCTTAACTATTATAAACTATTCACTGTTATTGTTTAATTTTAATTATACCAAAACGTTAAAATATTTTTAATTCACATCTTATCAATATAATCAATATTACCAATTTATTCAACTTCAATAAATAATATATTTTTAACTATTTTTCCTGCCAACTGGTCAACCTGATAAAGTTGTATATAATATCATAAAAACTAAATTTTTATACTTTTTGAATTAATTGCTTAATAATAAAATATATTCAGCCGGTCTCGCCAATATTATTAAAATATACAGTGTTAACATAATGTTAGCTAACATTTCGTTTAAGTTTAACATCTGGTTGAATTTATTAAGTCTCATCATAACAACATTACCATTAAATTATATTTGTTAAGTTAACAAAATGTCTGTTGGGTTACCAAAGCGGTTACCTTGATTCCAACGTTCTCATTGGTTATCGCGTAATGTGAAAACTGATAAGTGATAAAATTATAATTTCATAATAAAAAATCTCACTTTAACAAGCCGACTTCGGCTGATTAACTTAACAATTATTACAACAATACGTGTTAAGGGTAATAAATCTCGACGAAACCCAATTTTGTACTCAACTAATTGTTGAATATAATTAACAACAAGTTAAATCCTTATCAAACGTTGGTGAAATGGGCTGATTATATTTGAAATATTCTTGAACAGTTTTAAAATCAACAAAGTCGACAAGATGTTTTCAAGTTTTCTAGTTTTTTTTCTCAAGTTTTCCAGCATCGACTCATTTGTATCATTTACGTTTCAGGTGTGGTTTTCGAACCGGCGGGCCAAGTGGCGGCGACACCAGCGCATGAACAAATCGCGTCGGTCGGCGGGCGTGGCGGCCACCTCGACCGTGTCGGGCAGCAGTGGCGGTTCGGCGGGTACGCCCACGCCGCCCGTGGTGTCCCCCGTCGCGGACGGCGCGACCGCCGCGGCGGCGTCCCGGTGTCTGGGCGGCGGCGAGAACAGCGCGTTCCGTTCGCTCGTGCCGTACCCGAACGGCGGCGGCGGCGGCGGCCGGGCCGGTGCTACGCGGCGTCCGAATCGTCCGAGGAGATCAACGTGACCACGGACGACGACGAGCCGTCGGCGGCGGCGGCGGCGGCGGACGCCGTTCCGACACGCCGTCACCGACGTACATCAACAACAACAACAACAACAACGACGACGACGACGGCGACGTCGACGGCGGCAACGGCCACGGCGGCAAGGCGTCGCTGTCCGCCGCGCATTCGCCGTACCGGTTCGCCGGCGACCGCCAACCGTTTTTCGGCCTGTCCGCCGATCCCGGCAAGCACGCGGCCGACCACCGTCACCATCACCATCACCACCACAACGTGTTGTCCACGATAGCGTCGTGGAGGGAAATGGCCGCGTTCACGGCCCTCCACCATCGCGCGATGGAATCGAGTGCGGCCGCCAAAGTGGCCGCAGCGGCGGCGGCCGCGGCCAGCGTCCAACCGCTCCAGCTGACCAAGTACGACAAGGACAGAACCTGAACACAAGTCTATAAAGGCAAATTGTCTAAAAAAAAATTATAATATTTTTTTTAAAAAAAATGTACATAAATTATATTTAAAAATTGTCTAGACACTATATTATAGAGCGATTGCAATTTCATTATACAGCAATTTTACCTCCAGAAATATCGTCGCTTAAGATGCAACACCATAAGACCAGATAGTGCACTCGAAAGCAAAACAAAAGATTTTCAAATAAAGATTTTTGATTGGTTCAACTTAATGCATTAGGGTAAAATTGTAGTGTTAATATAGTATTTGGCACACTATTTACAATAATAATAATGGTAACTGATAATAATTACTGATAACAAGCAGTTGATCGACGAAGGTTGATGATGATATGGTTACAAAAGCTTGATGAAATTTCTTTGACCCCCATTGTAGAACAAAAAGATTATTTTTTGATCACACTGACCTGAGAGTATTAGTTAAATTTGACAAACAGTTTTCGCTTTTTTTTAAAAAGCACTATCTGGTTTTATTTATTCTGTGATAACATTATAATGGCGTTATCAATAATTATCCGCGCGCGAAAATTAAAATATAACAGTGTGGCCAACGTGATTTGGCAAAAATAAAACGAGATATGAGGTGTTGCATCTTCAGTGAAGATGTAATTGTTTCAAAAGCCAAAATTAAATTTAAATTAAATCGTTAAAGCATAGAAAAATATTCCTCTAATATAGGTACCTCTTCAAAAGCTACCGTTTAAAATCGCATATGTTTAGCTGTTATAATAGATGTTGTACGTACTTGAAGTTGTTTTATCCAAATTAATTTACAATTTAGAAAAAAACAATGTACAGCAAAATTACACAAAACGTAGCAATAAAAATTTAAAAAAAAAAGGTGTGTGAATTGTATGTTTTATTACTTGGTAAATATTCTAAGGCGTTACATTTATTAGAGCGGGGACTGAAATCCAGATTTTTTAATTTTATTCATTTTTAACACAACTCACTACTATTAAAAAACGTTGTGTTTACTTAGGTTCATTTAGTTTGATTAAAACAATTATTGTAATTTTGAACTTAAACAAGTTAAAAACACCAAAACCAGATGTTTCCATCACTAGTGAATTAATTAGGGTTACCGTTAAAATCTTTGGCACGGTTCCAACTGCAATGTTATCACAGATTTGATAAGAACCGGATGTGACCGCATTCTAGAAATACAATTTTTCTACAAAACATTTTCCTACAATATAATATGTTATCGAATAATTTTCATAATAAACATGCGATGACAATCAATGAATTCAGAAATGTTTATTTCTACCAGTGGTTACTCTGAGTTGAGAAGCGTTAATCTCTCAGCAGTTATATTGCTTTAATAGGGAATGCCCCGTCTGATTTTCGTATAATCTGCAATATTATTACAACCGCCATTGATTTCCTTATCACACAGCGAAATGGACGTTGCTTTGTAAATACATGTTTTATTGATTATAATAATATAAAAGATTTAATAGTTTCAATATATATATATATTATATAAATATATTGTTTACCGTGCGAGATATATTGTAAGTATGTATTTGAAAAAAATCAGGTACACTATTATATTGTAAATAATATTGTTCACACGTTATTGTTGAGTACCTAAGTATTGTACAATGTTTATGTAGGTACATTTTAATAACTGCACAACAATGGCGAACGATTAATGAAAATTATTTAAAAATTTCGTGTCGGTGTACAAAATAAAAAATTATCGGCCGGCCTGTAAACGTTGTAATTATATTTGGCGGGTATATAATATTATTATTTATGTAATAATAAGAAAGGCGAAGAGTTTTTGGGTTTTTTTTTTTTGAAACGGAAATAATATAATTTAATGTGTGTTCACACGCAAACCGTTTTTTTTTTACTTAGATTGCACCAATTTCCTCTAATTTCCTTTTTTCATTCTGCCTCTGAAACCTGATCACCTGATATTTTGCAACAACACTGTTTTTTATCAGCGCTCGCCATTGTTGCCAACGCAACCAGTGTTGGCTTAGATTAGGTAGGTTAGGTTGGTTTGGGTTAGTCAAATCCGGATTTTCTCCAACTGATAAAAAACACCCTATTCGATGTGATTTAAATGTCGAGACGTCTAAGTTTGTAAATTGGGTTAGTTTCCAATAACGTACTTAACATGTTGTAAGTTTTTGACATTTCCAAAATACATATTTCACAAGCTAACTATACTATCATATTCTTTATGCCAATTATACTCCTGTCAATCACAATTAGAAGGAGCCAAAATTGGATCATGATAATATACAAATCCCCAACGCGAATACCAACTATAAAATATAATTTTGGGATTAAAAAATCGGTTTCGACAGCCTAACCTACCTACCCTAACACCCTACGTCCCACTTAAAGATAGGTAGGGTTAGGAATTAAGGACTTTTAGTTAAAAAATGCATTTTTGGTTTCCCAAACAAACCTATCCTATCCGACTGTTACATTGTTCACAGTTCGGCCAAAATAAATCATGCTGTTATACTAATAAATGTTGGCTCAGTGATGAATGATTGAATGGCGCAGAGCAAAATCATAATTGTATTATGAAATAATTTAATAACTGGCCTACATTAAGACGTTTGCGCCACGCTGGCGGAGAACCGTTGCAATATACTTTTAGATTATTAATGATTTGTTTTATCTTAACGACTTGTCTGTGATATGTACACATATATCTATACATCAATATATATATATATATATATATATATATATATATAACTTAACATTAATGAGCATTTTTTTTTCCTATTACGTTTGTTGTAATTATTTAACTAGCTATAGAATTATTGTACATTCAATTAGTATTATTATGATTACTATTAGTGTTAGTGTAGAAAATCTGTAATGTTGTACTCTCGTGCTTTTTTTTTTTATCATTATTATATCATCTTAAGAATAGCATTTGTACCGCGTAAAATTGTATTTAATTTATTGCACAATACATTTTTTTTTTAAATATTATACATTGCGAAAAACTTTTGATGTTTGCGTTTTATTGTTATTCGAATCCTTATCAGTGTTTTTACATTTCCGTCAAGTTGGCAATTATCATTTGGAAAATGGTACAGCTCCAAAAATTCTACTGTAAACACATAAAACTAACATTACTAACATGTATTAATGTTTTACAGTAGGTACACAAAGGATATTTTAATCAATGTGTTAATAAAATATAATTTAACAGATAATATATTTAATGTTTAATAACCTATTTTATTATTATCAAACCATCAGTCCCTTAATAAATATGGTTAAGATACTAAAATTGTATGAAATATTTTATTTGGATACAAAATAAAAATTAATTATTAATATTATCCTTTTTAAAAAAAACTATACCTAGTAGGTATTACAGCCGACACCTACTTAGTACAAATTGTTAAAGAAATGTTTCATACATAATATGTTGTTTACAATAAATACCATAAATTACTATAAATATTTATGTTCAACAAATGCGTATTAATTTAATTTTTAAGTATATTTTAACCGGAAAACCTCAATCAAATAGTGTTTGTTTCATTCAAGTAAATTCCAGTTTTACTTATAATAACAATGTTAAACTTACATTGGAAAACGCAATTAAAATAATGTGCAAACTGTATATACAAAAAAGGTATAGTTTATAATTTATAAGTCGAAACAAATGAAAACAAGTGTATGATAATAATAATAATAATAATAATATTTGATTATTGATGAACAGTGTTATACATATTACTAGGTGACTGCATTTCAGATTACAATTTCAATATTAATCGAATAGGAACTAAAATGATTCTTGACCAATACAAATTATTAATTATTATGTACAGGTTGCTTAAGGTACAAAAAAAAAAAGGCTGATAAAAATGAAAAATAAAATAAAATAATACTTTATCAGCAATATTGCAGACTTGTAGTAAATATCTAAAAATTTAAACAAAAATTAAATACGTCTCTCCGGCCCCTGTGTAAGGGTAGAAAATAATTTAAATACTCTAAGTGCATCAAAGGTCGCGATACTTCTGTTAAAAATAGACTTTTTAAAAGTAATTGCTATTCAATTATGTTTTGTTTAACTTTTACCTTTGAGTAACAGTTATTAATTCTTACTGAACCATTTTTAACAACATTTTTAATGTATTTTTACTCAGACGGATTTGGCTGGTCAATTGTTGTTGACAATAAATAAGGTCTTTAGGAATTTTGGTTTGTATAGCCTGACAAGTAAAAACTTCTTAGTCACAACCACTGCTACTGATAACTATATCAGTCATCAATAATTAAATATACCTACATGCAATTTATATAAAATGGGCAATGCGATAGTTATAAGTTATGTATTTGTTTTGAATTAAATTAGTACTTACATTGAAACTAGACCTAACGACTATATATTTGGATAAACATTTTAAAGTGGTTCAAATCAAATTAACACTAATATTAATAGAAATATTGTATTATAATATACTAGTAGATATCTTAAGTAATATTATATATTACCTGATATAACAATGATCCTAATGTCACAATCAGTTTAAAGTCTTTAGCCGGCTGCAGTACGCCTGTCAACTTAAACCGTGTTTAAGATTCAATTTAATTTTAACCAATTTATCATAAAACCGAATTTTTAGTTTGAATAAAGATTAACAGATTCTTTAAACTGACGATAAATACAATAGACCTCAGGATATAGCTAGATTTTCAAAATTATAATATTGTATCAGTTATTATCCATATTGAATACCTATGTAAGTACAATTATTTGAAAACCATCGAAACCTCACCTGTTTAACAGAAATGAATGACTAAAAAAAAAAAAAATAAAGATCTTTAGCCGTGAAAAAAATAATGTTTGTCATATTATAAGCTTTTACTTTTATTCGACCACGCTCTGCTACCAATTTTAGATTTCATACGTTTAGTTTGCAAGTAACGACAGCCTATGTAAGGTTTAATTACTTATCAGTATAACTTAAGGTTATTACCTACCAGTTTGTATTGCGGCTAAAGTTGCTCTGAGAATAATAGTATTTCACAACTCTTTGATTCTTTGGATTCTTCAACAATCATAATTATTGCAAAATAACTGTTTGTGTAACGTTGTACCGCATACTCATTTACATACTTACAATGTTAGTTTGCCTGTTATAATGTAGTACATAATAATATCATCAAATTTCAAATATTGTATTAACGTTTTTTTTTTTTTTTATAATCCGTCGGGAAAAACGTTGGTCAATCGTCTCCGTCCATTTTTTCCCAACACTTAATAATAATTATCCGTTTCCGCTGCAAAGAACGTTCAACCTACTTATTTATAGTGCGCTCTTATTAATTTGTACTATTTGAATTTTACTTATGAAACTCGTTTGCCGATTACGAGGCACGATATTATGAGGGGAAAACAACATACCGTAATATTACAAAATATATTTATGATAATATCATTACAACTGAACGCGGTACACACGCAAACAAAAATCATAATAATTCTATAAGGAATTGCGAATAATTGATCTGTTACATCAGTTGGTCTGCCGTCTAGTGATTCGTCTAGGTTAAGGAATACTCCAAGCGATACCACTGTATTTTTCACTAAGTTTTAAAATTATAAATTAACGTTCAATATGTTCTTTATACCAATATTTTAATTATATAACTATTATTATTATGTTACATTAAAAACATATTTTATATATTTATATGCTGGTCAATACTCTTAATAGGTACACATTATGTATTTAAACTCGGCTCGTTGATATCATTACTGTTATTTTATATTTGTATATGAACCGTTTCGTTGCCGACAAATGTGTCTTTAACAAAACATTTCTTATAACTATAATTACAATGTACAAACTGTACTCGACTGCTGTTGTGTTGTTAGTCGTTTATTCAATTATTTTGGGGACAACGTGTCAGCCGACACAGGATAAAGACAGTTTGAACTCTCTAGACAACTTTCTGCCTCTGCTAATTATACCTGCTAAAATTTTACTTCTGCCGCTGCTGCTACTAGTATTGGAATTTATATTGATATACTTTTAACTATTTTTGGAATAAATTGTTTGTTGCTGGAAATTAGTCTATATACATATAGACCATGTGTAAAATACACTTGGAAACTGTGTACGGTAAACAATATTATTATTTAAACCCTTGCTCTGACTTCCTATTTTGGTTTTTAACAAAAATTCTAAAACTATTCCCAAAAAAATGAATAAAATTCACCCTCTTGTGGGGTCGGAGAAATGAAATCTGGATTTACTATGCAATTATCCAACTGGGTAAGTCAATGTTAAAGTTGACAAATAACTGTTTTATTTCTAACCCCACAAGTAATAATTGCATACGTTTTATAATCAAAGCAAATCGTTCCTAGTTACCACATTTTTTTATAAACATGAATTTAATTAAACTTGAGTTGACCGCCCGGTCATCTACTTAAAATCCGGCACAGTATAAACCAGCAAAGTTAGAAAGTATTAAATTGAGGGCTGTACTTACAAACAAGCATCAAAGCGTTTATTTGAAAGTGATTTTATTCACTTTTATCACTTGTGGACCTGTGACCTCACCGTTGCCTCTATGCTTTGATTCCATATTACTAATTTTCCAAAGTACTAACTAGACGATAGAACTTATAGAGTTGCTACTCGAAGGAATTGGTCCAGTATTAAACGAGTTACAGTGTATACAGCCAAAAAAAAAAGCCCACATCATGGTAAAACCAATACCTTCACTGTTTTGCATCGAAGCTAGTTTTGTTGCATTTATAACATAGTTTATTATGCTTTAATTTGTTTAATAAAATAAAAAAATGTATACTTAATTTGGCAAAAAATAAAAAAGAACAAACTTAAAAATGTAACATAGATTAATAACTATGTATAAGTCAGCGTCCCTATCTGAAATAATTGGATCTATTGCATTCGATTTAGATTTCAAATTGGTGATGTATTCATGGCAACCCATTGTTATTAATGGCGACTGTGTTAATAGATGCTTTTTATTAATTTTTTACTAAAAGAGTATCATTATAAGTATTTGATGAAATACCATTATTCATCGCTGTTTTTTTTGCGGTACAAGATAAATCATTTCTAAGTGATGTTTTTCAACAGACTGTATTTATAGACATTTGATAAAACAAAGCACATTTTTATTTACAAAACAAGATCTATATTTCTTTTTTTAATAATTGCAAATCCAGCAATGATATCATCAACATTTAATGCAATTGATTTATGAACATTAAGTCCTAAGTTTTCAACCTATTAACAAAATAATAAAGGTAGCAGATATGACTAATACAAGGATATTAATGATGAGAAAGTGTCAAGTCAATAAGTGGATGTTAGGAGTGCAGTAACCAAAAAGAAAGAGTAGAGAATTTAACTGTTGTTACTCAAAGCTAAATTAAAAGTAATTAAGCATTTAAAAAGCATTTATCACATTCCGAATAATAAAGATAATTGTTTCAAGGTTGTTAGTAAATATCTAAATATTAGTACTTTTTACTTAACACCTGTTTTCTATTTGCCCCCGTTAGAACAAAAATGTATATGTGTGTTTTTAAGTCAAATTTGACTTCCAACTCCTCGTCGTTGTTAGCATCTCAACAAAATGTTATAATTGATAATCCGTGACGAAAGAGCTATACCTACAAAGATTGCATGTTACCAACTTATATTAGAATAGC